TCCCAGCGTTATACACACAGTTTTATCCAAACAACAGTTATCCACAGAAATTATTTCTATTTTGGTTCATAATTATAATCTCACAAGTTTTGCTTACCATCTATAAAAAAGGGAGACAGATGGCACAGCTGTGGACAGTGTAGTATGCAGAGCTCTTAAGAGTCATTCACTTTTTTCCTGTTTGTATCATCTTTGAAGTACAAACTGTATTTGATTCAAGATAAAACTTTTCGTTTTTTGCATTTTAACATGTAAGTAAAACGGTGTATGAAATTACCAATGAAATTTAATTTTTGAGATTGTACAAAAATCTCTACTCAGTTTTAAAGTAGTAGCTTTCTGAAACTCTGCTAATGAAGAAGTTAATCTACAAAATACAAATGGAATGAAGCCACCTAGATTTCATAAATTTTGGTAAAATTGTAGTTACAGTGATTTAAAGCAAAATCAGTATACTAAAGAGTAACATTTCTGCATACATCCTTTAATGAAGATCTGTTGGAAACACATGAAGTGGCAGAAACATCGCTTTAACAGTACAGAAGATACATGCAGTACCCCCAAAATGCATAAATTCTAGCAGCACCATGAGAATACATTACCTAACATTAGAAGAATTTAAATATAATCAGTGCTCAAAAGAGCCTATATTCCGTTAAGATAATCAAACTATTAAAATTTATTGGTATAAAAATAGCTTCATGAACTACTAATGTATATATATGTCCTGAACTCTCAAAAATATGATAACAGCAGTTATTTATCAATATATTTACTGTTATCTAAGGATCATAAATTTACAATGAACACAAGATTTAGTTTTCAGTATTATATTTCAGTCTTACATTCTTACAGCACCAGAGTACTATAAAATTAACTATTTCCAATAGAATTTTAATAGTTTTAAATCTTAAAAAAAATCCTAGAATTTATTAAGAAATAACAAGTAAATCCCAGAATTCCATATAGCTGATGCTATGAAGCAAACAATTCCTCCTTGGAATGACAGGACAAAACCTTCCCCCATATGTATAAGCTAGTGTATTAGTACATAGCTACTTTACTCAGCGTATAGCTAATCTAACACTATGGGCTCAAAGGATAACCTGAACACTTCAGTGGGTCAGAGTGTACACCTGCTCAGTCCCAAAAGGATATTATCATTTAGCTTAAAAAATAATTTTTTAAGATAAAATAGCAATTTTAATAAAATTTAATAAATTTCCCCAAAGAAATTAGTAAACATTTCCTCCCTATTTTACACATGCCTAAACTTTTAAAAGCATTTAAATAAATACACTAAAAAAGTATCAATTTATTGAAACTATTCAATGAGAATGTTTTTGCGTAGTTTATGTCAAGGACATAAAACGGTACTATAGCCCTTGATTAAGGAGTATTGAGCAGCCCATATATTTTAAAATTTAGTTCAGCAGTATTAATTAAAAGTCAAAGAAAAGAGTAAGTAATTCAAGTTAACTCTATAATGCCACTGAATTAAATATAAAAAGTTGTACTAGTTTAGTAGACAGGTTTTAAAAAGTTCAAAAGTAATTTTAAAAAACTATTTGTGGATGACATTTTGATGCCTGGGATTTGCTTTAAAAATTATACAAAAGTGGAAGAGTGGGTAAAAATGAAACAAGATTGGCCACTTTTCATAACTGTTGAAGCTGGTCACATGTTCATGGGAGTTCATTAGAGTATTCCCTTCCCATATATATCTGGAAATTTGTAGAAGTTTAGAGACTAACAAAAAAATCTTGCTTCTCTTTAAAGTTAAGTAATACTTTTTAAAAATAAACAAAACTTAGAGTAAAGAACAAACACACATTACTAAAATTTTCGGGACCAAATGAAAATCAGGGCCTTCTTTTGGTATGTTGATTAATGAATTCATGAGATTTAGGCATAAAATGTGAATTTTAAGAAGAGCACAAATTGGCTTGCTAAGTAGCTATTACTACAATCAACTCTTAATTAACTTGACTGACTAGGTCACTGTTCTGTATCCTTCCATCTTTTTTTTTTTAAACACATACACATTCTAGTGATTTTTGCTCCTTATTTAGCAGTAAAATGGTATCAACCAGAATAGAGAAATTTGGCAAAATATTTTTTTGCTATTTATTCTTTTCTGTTGAAATAAGTACTAAGGAAGAAAGACAAAATAATAGTCTAAATAAGCCTTTAAAAACAGATTTTAGCTGTCTTCCTTTGCCATGAAAAAATAATAGCACATCAAGTTTAAATACTTGTGAGTTCCAGACTTAAATAAAGATTATTTTAACACTCTCTCTGTTTCTAACGCATGAGACACTGATCTTATTTCTACATAGGTCTCCTAGGATAGGAACAGTCATTAACTTCCTAACACGATAACATGCTCGTGTTGGGGATTTGACTAAAATGCATTGTTATCTAAATGGCAGAACATACTAGGGTCAAAAGAGCTGAGTTCTAGTTCCCAAGTTGTTAGGAATGAATCGCATATGTGACCTAGGACAACTCACCTAACCTCTGGGATTTAGTATCCCCATGTGCCAAAGGCATATGCTTTCAAACTCTGCCATTTTACACCATAATATGGATACACACACATAAATACAGATATTACTGAAAAGAACTTTCTACTCTTAATGTGAGTTTTGCTTTCATGTTTCCTATTTGGTTTTATTACATTTCATTTTTCAGAATGACATGAATAACCTAAGCTGATTTCAAACTACTACAGTTTGGCAAATTCTGGATTACACCATCTTTGAGGTCTCTTCTAACCCTGATATTTTTGGATTCTAACATTAGCTGTAAAATACTTAATCTTCTATCTTAGGTAGAAGTCGATTTCAGTTGTTACCAGGTGAATAGTGATTAATATTGATTAACGTAAAATCAAAACAAGTTCAGAGAATAAGTCTCCTGAAACCCCGTAGCTCTGGTATTTTTAAAATAAGAATGCTATACAACTATGTAATGCATTTAACATAATTAAAACCTTAAATTGATCTATTCAGTTTTATTTTCAGAACTCAAATATCTCTATGGCTAACCTATAGATTTAGATTACATTTTATATTTAGATTTTGACCAGTAGTCAAAGAAGCAATACCTTCAAACCAAAGTAAGTAACTCCTATTAGACTCCCAAGAACTGAAAAAAATCAAGGGAGATGACCAATCCCAGTTAGTAACTCTAGATACTAAGGTTTAGCAAAACAATAAACATTCAGAAAATTTTAGATGCATAAAGTAAACTAGAAATAGCTTCTACAAATGTTAAATAAAAAAGTTCTTCTTTCTTTTTTTTTCTTTTTTAAAGATTGGCACCTGAGCTAACAACTGTTGCCAATTTATTTATTTATTTTTCTTCTTCTTCTCCCCAAAGCCCCCCAATACACAGCTGTATATTCTAGTTGTGAGTGCCTCTGGTTCTGCTATGTGAGACGCCACCTCAGCATGGCCTGACGAGGGGTGCCATGTCTGTGGCCAGGATTTGAACCAATGAAACCCTGGGCTGCTGAAGCGGAACGTGCAAACTTAACCACTCGGCCACGGGGCTGGTCCCCAAAAGTTCTCATTTCTAAATGCTGCAGTATTCAACGACACAGCTCACTTCAGCGTTAACCAAAGAAATCAAGTTTATGATTATGTTTGGTGCAGTTAAGACTATCAAATGGATATGTTAAATATAATTTAATAGGAAGGAATTTTTTTCTTCCCTCAACATGAATAACATTTTTAAAAACTGCATAGTAACCACATTGCTCTTTAATTGTAATTGTATAGCTGAGAAACGTGTATGTTTTACAAATCAATGTGAACATATAGTCTTCAGATCAGAGGAACTAAAATTTTCACGTGCCAGTCATTTTTATAACTATAGAAACGAGAATATGCTTGTACAGCAATAGTTAAAGCCTGATCTCCATGATAATTCCAAATACGTCTACTACTTTACACAAAATTATTAGCACTTTTAGGAACAAATTAGAACAGCCTCACAGGCAAATAGTTTTCCCTCATGCATGCCTAATAAACCTCAACTAACTTCTTCTTCCTCAGCCTCACCATCAGGTCCCTCAGAATCAGTCTCTAGTATGTTTAATCCTGTGCCCCTAACATCCAACCAACACAATCAAAATTAAAATTCTCATGAAAAAGAGCTTACAATATCTCACTTCACAATTCTTCTGAATATACTGAAGAATTTGATTTTTTAAAAAATTGGTGCCAAAAAGAGAAGCACAAACAAAAACTGTTTTCTTGATTTTAATTAAAACCACCTAGTCAAAAGTTTCCAAAGAAGGCTAAAACTTAAGATAGCGACTGATAGGTATTTGCTTACATTTGCAATACTGCAATTTCATAGACCTCTTTACATCCTAAAAATATCACAGCCAATAATTAATGCAACTGGTTGGAACACATTTAAGGATAAATTATATCTTTTTAAGCTATCAAATTCTTTTAAAATTCAGAAGCATGTGAAGATTTATCTCCTGTTAGCTGGTGTGCAAAAATAAATCTGACAATAACATTAATAGGTTCTTGCTACGAGTTACCCCAATAACGTGTTTCCTTCTGTGAAATCTTAAGGTGAGATCACCTCTAAGAGTATGGGAAAGCTCAATTTCAGAACAGGAAATCTATTTTTTTAAAAAAATTTATAACCCTCAAGAACATACATGAAAATGGAAACCAGGTTAGCAAAGGGGGACTTTTAGGGCCTGTGTTAAAAAATAAATAGAAGAGATTTACAATAATATATTGTTTCACTAAAAAATGATTTGTCCTTTAATTAGCTCAATAGCCCTTTTTCTACAGATAAAGGAAATGTTCACTCCTGTCCATCTAGGCAACTATCAACTATAAATTACTAAAATTTTTCTGAGGTTAACAGAAACAGTTACAAAAAAAGTCTGACCTAGAATTTTCACTCAGAGTTGTAACATTACAAGATTTATCTGAAAGCAAATAAGTTTCCACATTTAGACATCTTACTTAATCATGATGGTTGAATTGAATCTGTACCTATGTGAAAATGGCAACGCATTCTGAGTTGGTTCAGCCCTTGGCTCTGAGTTCTGTGTCACATCAGGTGTTCTTTCATCATCCGTCCCATTGATACTTTCTGGTGTTAAAGGTGACTGAAGATCCCCACCTGCTGATTCCTAAGAAACAAAGTGGGGTGGAGATAAAAAAAAAAAAAAGTGTTATACTCCTGTTAAAACACACAAGATCACCTTAAAGTTAAAACTGACTCTGATGTATGTTGACTTTTGAACTATGGTTATATTCCAACTGAAATTTGAGTCAAAGACTTAAAAAATGAAGTTTGAAGGAGAAAATTTTTTAAAGCAAAGCAACTCATAAGAAAACTAACTGAAACAATACAATTTAGAAATGTAAACATAGGGGCCGGCCCCGTGGCATAGCAGTTAAGTTCATGCGCTCCACTTTGGCAGCCCAGGGGTTTGCCAGTTCACATCCTGGGCACAGACCTACATACTGCTCATCAAGCCATGCTAAGGTGGGGTCCCACAGAGAAGAACTAGAAGGACCTACAACTAGGATATATAACTATGTCTGGGGCTTTGGGGAGAGGAGAAAAACAAAAAAGAGAGGAAGATTGGCAACAGATGTTAGCTCAGGGCCAATATTCCTAAAAAAAAAAAAAAAAAGAAAAGAAAAAGAAATGTAAACATAACACAATTTAGAAACGTAGTTTCAAAGAGCTGAAAAACTTTTGGGTTTAGATAAGCAATTAATTCGTTAGAATAAAAGATATTCAAAGAATCACTTGAGAAGAAAAAGATGGCATAAAAATGCAAGATGTGATTCTGTTTGGGAGGCTGGGAGGGCAAAGGGGAGAATGAAATCTTCAACAAGTCTTAATTTTTTTAATCTGCTCTATTTTTCACTTCCTGGAGTTATTTGCAAAGCAGCCAGAAATACCTCCATAACATATTATACATAATGACGTTAGTATATTTCAGCTTTTCTCACCTGCTACTCATAATAAAATTATTTTTCTTCACAAAATTTCTGGTCTTACTTCTATCAAGGTAAATTTAATTTATCCCTCTGGAAAATAAATGAAACTGAAAATGAAGCCCAACCTGACACTTATTCTTGCGACTGCCATCATCAAATTATCTAAATTTGCTATAGAAACCAGAATGAGGAGTCATTCGATAAACCTGTTAGCCAGGGAGATCCAGCACCAGCCTGCTACAGAGCAGCTTGGGGGACTCCTTGTGATCTCTGGGCAACAGAACTTCACAACTGAAGTATTAGGCTATGTGAGGGAAGAAAATGAAAACATCAGTGTCCAACATGGGAGTGGTTAGGTATGGTCATTATTTGTCAACTTAAAGGAATACACGGGGGCCAGCCCCACAGCCTTGTGGTTAAAAGCTCCACGTGCTCTGCTTTGATGGCCCGTGGTTTGTGGGTTTGGCTCCCAGGTACAGACCTGCTCCACTCATTGGCCATGCTGTGGAGGCATCGCACACACAAAATAGACAAAGACTGGCTCAAGGCTAATCTTCCTCAAGTGGAAAAAAAAAAAGTGGAAGACTGGCAACAGATGTTAGCTCAGAATCTTCCTCACCAAAAAAAAAAAAAAGAATACAAGATTTCCTCAAATAGAAAACAAGATGAATATGTGTAATACAGGAAAATGCTTATAGTTAGGGAAAAAGAGTACATAAGGAGATATGTAGATTATGATAATTTATATAATTTACATAAAAAATACTGCACATAAAGAAATGTGGAAAATAACATAGTGAGACTAACTTTCTTTTTGGGGCTTCTGGTTTTACATAGCTGCATGTATTTTATTTGACATTTAAATATTTTAACTAATAGACTATAATGCTATAAATTATACAAGCTATCAAAGATCAAAAGGCTACTTTCTGGATGGCACATTATCACTTAACTATTTTTCAATTATTAATGGAACCTGTATGTGACCTTTAACTTCATTCTTTTAAAATCTTTCTCCTAAATCCTCTTTGTTTCTATTAACTGACAGTCAATGCATGAATACAGTTATAGTATAATGTGACAACATAAGATTGTTTTAGGGGCTGGCCCGGTGGCACAGTGGTTAAGTTTGTGCACTGCACTTTGGTGGCCCAGGGTTTGCAGGTTTGGATCCCAGGTGTGGACATCGCATGGCTCATCAAGCCACACTGTGGCAGCATCCCACATAAAACAGAAGAAGATAGGTGCAGATGTTAGCTCAGCAACAATCTTCCTCACAAAAGAAAAAGAAAAAAACCCAGTTTTACAACAAAGTCAAATCCTACTAAGTGAATAATGGGAACAGTATTCAAAGTGACTACTTCTAGGTCAACTATGGGCCTTATCAATTAGCCAGAAAAAGTTTAAGCAGCCAGTAAGAAACCAGGAAGTTATCATCTGTGGTTCCAATAAATCAGCACTATTATTCTCCAAGAAAGATCAAAATAAACTAAAATAATCACGGTTGACTGTCCAATCAGCTAAACAGTAAGCTGGCCACGACCCGATCCAGTGGAAATGATAACAGAAACAAATTACCCTGTTAACCTGAAAGGGCATACATTTTGTGTTATTTTCTAAACATTCAACTTTAGCTATTCCTAAAAAGAAAAACCACCTCATATAAAACCAATAATTTATATCTTTAAATCAAACATTAAAACAAAAAGCATGGAGGTATATCTAACAGACTACAAACTTTTGAACAAGAAGGACAATTTCTCTTTAGAAAAAGATTCCTAAGCTAATATGGCTAGCCATTTCTATAGTAAATGCTTAAGGAAAAAAAATCAAGTAGTACCTTCTTTGATACGTGTGTGTGTATATGTGTCTGTAGATATGTATAACAATATTGATAAGAAAAGTGAAAAACAAAATATAAATAAAAATTGAGATTTCATGAACTTCCATCACGTTTACATCATTATTCTTAGAAAATAAAACCACTCACATCTCACTTCCTTTCTGGGAAACTCGCCCCACACCAAAAAATAATTTTAAAAGGAAAAATGACAGTCAAATTGAAAAAAAAATTTTTTTGCATATTAAAATCTGAGAATGTATCAAGGAAGCCAAAACTAACATGTGACAATATTATAAAAAAGGAGCCTGAGCACAGATGTAGGATTCAGGAAGTGCTTCTTAAGAATTCTCTCTCTCTACTCATTTATGAAGTGGCAAGAAAGCAAAAAAAAAAACCAGAAATATTCTGAATCATATGAAAAAGAAATGACCTTGGCCCTCGCTCCAGGCCGGGCCTTCAGGGTGCGAGCACCAACCCACTCTCAGGTGTACGTGATACAGAAGGAGGGTGGGATGTCAAGGGTTAGCTCTACTTAAAGGAAAAAAACCCAGGAAATTGCAGACAAGTAATTATTGGTATGACTTATGTAAGAAAGATAACATGGAATTCCAATCAAAAGATTCAAATTCAAAGAAAAGGCATCAGCTTTAAATCAAAATATTGGTGAATAAATGAAACATAGTATCATTGAATTTTAATTTATAAATTGAAAAGAATCTTTTTTCAAAAAATTCTTTACATTACCTGACTTTTTGGATTAACTCTTCAGCTACTAGTTTTGCCTCCAACAATAAGGGGGCTTGCGCTGTACAACCTCCTATCCTCCCAACCTATCCCTCTCTCCTTCTACCTGCTCTTCAACTTCATCAATATTTACAATCTCTGGGCCCTCTGCTACTATGCTATTTTGTCAGGCTCAACCTGGCTTTATTTCTCTCCATGCTCAGCCTACACCAGAAAGCCAATCACCTTAATTATATTCTCTCTAGCATCATCCCAATCTGGGGGCTTCCTGACCTTCCACAAACCCCATCTTACCAATTTCCAATTGTGTATCAACCAAACCATCATTCTCTATTCTTACGTGCCCAAGCTACCAAGTACTATGGGAGAAAATATCATTAAATATGCTGATTAGTGTCATGAAAATAATGTTGGGCTCTGACTTCAATTATGTTCTTGAAGTACCCAGTAATCTTTATTTTACTTACCCCCATCTGACTCTTTTTTTCTTTGCCTAGCAGCTGCTCCAGACCTCTGTTCAAGCCCTCTCTCTCCGGTTGTCCTTCCTCCAGTGAACACCTAACTCTTCCTTCACAGAGAAAATTGAAATAAACTGGCATACACTTCCTCAATCTCTCTATCTGTATCTGAATCCATTTTTATCCTTTCCTCCTGTCTCAGATGAATAAGTGGCTAATTTGTTTCCATCTTCCCCCCTCATAATATCACCTTCTGTACAATGCTCCCCTTCTAGTCTTCTCTTTCCTTCACTGACTCCTTCCTTACATTTAGAAACATGTTCAAGTCACCCACACACATACATTCTAGAAAAGAAAAATTCTTAGCTCCACATCCTCCTGAGATTATCATGCTAACTCTTTTTCTCCTCACACAGGAGAAACAAATATTGTTACCTTATTCTCACTACCAAACATTTTGGTCTCAAGGCAGCCTAAAGTCAAAAACTCTTCACATTGCCCTTCCTTCACCAAGAATCCACCTATAATTACCAGTGAACTCCGGTTTGTTAGGTTCAAAGTCCTCTTAACACCCATCCCTTTGGAACTCTGTCTCTGACACGGCCAAATCATTGTCTCCAACTTGAAATGCTCTTCTCTTCTGAGCTAACCTTCTCTGCTCGTTCATTTCCTACCTCCTCTCATTGTCTTCCCCATATCTCCCTCAAATTTCTCAAGCGACAATCTTTAAGTGCAAATTTTTGACCCTTGTCTCTCCTCTCTTTCCATTCTATTTTCCTTCTGGATGATATCTTTCTCACCTACAGCTTTAACAACTACTCATTTGTTGATGGCTCTTGAGGCTTAGCTCCAATTCCAAATTCCTAAGTACCCACAGGACACGTCCACCTGGATGTACCATTAGGATACAAATTCAATATCTGAAGTGGAAATCCTCTTCTGAAGTCCGTGCTACAAGCCAAGAACAGAAGTTTCAAAAACATCTAACTCCTCCTTTACTACCCTCTCTCACCCTCACTATTCCCTCACTTTCTGCATTTCCTCCAAGTTCAGTCCATTTCACCATTGTTATGTCTATTCCCTTCTCTCTATTCTCGTGGCCGTGGCCGAGATTCAAAGGCAGGCTCCAGACCTACATCATAAGCATTAGCATATGACATTGTCATAATGTCACGTTAATAATGACATTACCATTATCATACTTACTCCTCCAACAGTCCTATGAGGTAAGTAATATAATGCTCCTGTGACAGATGTATAGACAGATTTGGGTTAAGCAATTTTCCCAAGATCACACAGTAACAGAAAAAGGACTTATGTCTAAGTTTGTCTGACTTGAAAACCCATACTCTTTTTTTTTATATATCTCTCCATTTATTTAGGGCTTCTTTAATTTCTCTCAACAAAGTTCTGTAGTTTTCAATATACAGGTATTGCAGATATTTTTCTAAACTTATTCCTAATTTTTTTAAAAAAATTTTATTCAGGTCATAACAGTTTATAACATTGTGAAATTTCAGTTGTACATTATTATTTGTCCGTCACCATATAAATGTGCCCCTTTACCCCTTATGCCCACCCCCAACCCCCTTCTCCTCTGGTAACCACTAATCTGTTTTCTTTGTCCATGTATTTGCTTATCTTCCACAGGAGTGAAATCACGTGGTGAAAAGCCCATACTCTTAACAGTTTGTAATACCTCCTCAGCTAAAAACAAAAGCTATGACCAACAGAGTGTCTGCTATTATCGATTATCCCATTTAACCTCCTGATCCTCTTTGCTGACTTCCTGAGTAATATTCTATTCTTCAGGCAGAGCGTTAATTTACCAGAATGGGTTAAACCAGTGAGAATCAAGCTCTGCTCTCTAGCTGCGTGGCATCGGAGTGGTTACAGGAGTCATGCATTTCAAGCTAAATCAGAAATATTAAAGATATCTGTAAGGCACTGCCACAAAAACGGGAAAGGGAGGAAAGAGAAATGAAGGGAAATATTTTTTTTGGTACTATTTCTCTGGCTGCTGTACATTAAATTAATAGTCACACTTTAAATGTTCTGAAAAGATAAATTAAGGTCAGTATATTCTGACTCTCAAATACTGATGAAGTTAAGACATTTCTTTATTATAACCTTACATTTCACAGCATTTTCCAACTAAAAACATCTTGGATATATTCCTTTGATGAAAGTAAAGACTTAAAGACATTCCCTTCACCAAAGAGGAGCATGTATTTCAGCAGCATTGTAATAGTTCATGGCCAATTAAACAAAAACAAGTTACAATTAGAGAAAAAGCAACTAAGTATAATGGCAAAGTGTAACCCATTACAGTTTTATTGGAGTCCTCTGAGTATTCGCTTACTGAATATGCTGTAGCATACTCTTGTAACACTAGAATCATTCACCTGAGGAATTGGAACTCCTAACATGTACTGGTACGAAATTATAAATAGGCTTTTATGCTTAAGAGTAGCACTACACTATGATAGCACTTATGGAAGACAGATTCAAGGAAAGTTTCAAAATGATTACGTTATTCCAGGTCACTGCAAGCGACACAGGAGGTGGAATGGAGTGTTGGCTTCAATCCAGAGCACACCTTTAGTCTATGGGGAAAAACGTACTTTAAGCATAACTAACAGAGCTCTCCTTTCCTGTAAAACAAAATAAAACATAACTCTTTCTAAAGGTAGGGTTTACCAAATAGAGTTGGGTGCCAGGGGTAGAGAGGAAGGTAAAGAGCAAAAAATTTTCTAAAATGTTCCAATCATTTGGCTAGTCACTAAATTCAAGGCAATTCCTACTTATTTCCTCAAAAAAGTTTTATGCAAATCTGCTACTATTGACACTATTCCAGAGAAACCTTTGTAACATTTGATCTCTCCTTTTCATAAAAGCTCCTGATTACACTTCGAAAACAATTACTATAGAGAAGAACCCAGCACAAAGCTGAACCCCATTCTTAAGATGACAATTGAAATAAATTTCAGAAGAGCCTGTTATTGAAAAGCTGAAAATAATTGGCATTCTACATGAATCATAATACATACATTAAAACCTCTGTAAAAGTACTGAAATGTAACTATTTAATGAACTTTACTTGGAGATATAATTAATTTCCAACTGAAGAAAGATTATGATGGACAAATAGGTATTTACTCATTTGTTAAAGGAAAAATTGACATTTGCATAAAACCTATAACCTTTGGGTCTCAGTGCTGAGCATAAAGTAAGATGTCCCAACTGTCAGATTTAAGCACACTTTAAAATCAAGGAGAACAAACCGTATTGTTAATTTTTTTTTATTTTCTATATATTATGATGTTCTGACATCTTAAAAAGCCTTTCTGGCTAGTCAATTCTTAGAGGTGGCAAGGGCTAAGGTGGGAGTATGCCTCTGATATGACACTAACCAATCGAGAGCGAGATCTCCTCTATCTGGCCTGAGCGTGGAGACCATATTCCTCTGCCTTAATCATCCCAGGGCCAGGTACCAGGCAACTAGAGACCACCTCTATAGTTTAGAGCCCACCAAAATTGTTCAAACTAGCCAGTCCTAAGCTGTTTACCCCGCTCTGCCATTCCCAAGGAAACCCCCATACTGGCTCTAGCCTCAGCTTTCCCTATGCTCCTGCCTTCTGGCCCGACCACCCCGAGGTTTCCCCCCGTGCCCCCCAGAGGTGTGCCGTGCCTCTTGGTTTTGGGCCCTATGAGTATAATAAGCTTGTGCTTTCCTGAGCCTTTTCTGTGTCTCTTCTTGTGGCTGTACCCGACTGACCATCACAGACCACAGACCACAGACCACAGCAGTAGGCCAATCTATGCTCTTTGTGCATGGTCATTTTTCAGTTGCACGCAGAGTAAAGAATCTGAGTTTTAATTACTAAACTGGTATTTTTTTCTCCTGAGATTCTTATAGACACTGGCATACAGAAAAAAAAAAAAACCTTTCTCCACTAGTACAGATTAACTGAAGGGCGTGTTTCTATGTCCACTTTGGAAATTACCTTAATTTTGCCATTATTTTCCCAAATTTAACTCTGGCATTAAGGATACCATCTAACATGAACAAGGGTCATAAATAAAAATAGAAATTAAATACCCACCTGTGAAGGGGTACTGGTAAGTTCCATCTTTTCTTGTGATTTCTCTTTTGCGAGTCGAGCAGCTTCCTTAAATTCCTGAAACTTTTCTGCAAACTGAATGTATAAAGACTATATGCGTTAACCAAATAAAAACAGATCTCAATGACCACTTTTACCTTAGTTTTCTTTCATTTTCTGGATAAATGACTCTTACAAAAGCAACCTAGACCTCAAATCAATTACAAGTGTAATATGAAAATCACGGAAAAAGAAACCTAATACCAAACATTTGTCTGTACGCTGTAAAGCACTCTGACAAGTCTCATTCAAAAACATCATGAAATAACTAAGTTAGAATTTGGTGTCTGCTGGCTTACCTATGTCCCTCCTTGGTTGTTCAGATATACTTTACTAAGACCAAGGTGGGGGGTACAAGTTGGGAGAGGAATCAGTAAAGAAGGGCATACTATGTTTATCACAGAGAAAACGGAATCTCTTAAGTATCCACTCCTAAACATCTTAGTATTTGGGGTGTGTTTTTAACTTTTACTAGGGTATAAACTCTTGTATTATGTACGGCATTTTATTTTCAACAATGCAAATAGTAACATTTACTATATCACTAACTGACATTACTAAAAAACTTCATTTCCAAAGATTTCTAAACAGCTAATGTACAGCAGCAGAAAGAAATATAACTACAAAAAGGTCTTTAAGATTGGTAACAATTAAAAAAAAGCATTGTACATGAAATGCTAATTCTTAGGAACCCATAGGAATCTAAAACATCGTGGCCACAAACAGTGTCTATCTATGTTTTGGAAGTGGAAGCTAGTCTACTACTATTCTCAGAGAGAATAAGTTAAGAGTTACAAAATAATCAAATTTAAAACCTCTTTGCAACTTAAAAACACCTGTTAGAGTTGAAAATAAAACTCTGAAATTACAGTTCCTTCCTCAAGCCCCATAAGCCTGATTTCATTTGCATCCTGGGGAAGAAATCTTTGGAAGGAAAGGCTCATGATATCCTGACCTGCCTTGGGAGATGCAGGAGGGTCAAAACCAAAGTTGTCACTATTACAACTTTCCTTCTTACCTTAAACATTGCCACCCCCACCTACAACTTGTAGATCAAGGAATCTGTATTAGTACACTTCTCTAATTGAACAGAGTATCTCTTTGCTGTAAAAAAAAAAACCTGAATACAAAGCTAAAAAGGTCTCACTCACATGGGTGGAAATGAAATAAAAACAAAACCATAATTAATTTATCCTTATGTAATTTGAAGTAGTACACAAAGTTTTTCTAACACTAATTTAGCATTCCAAAGTAGTTAATGTTTAAAATCCTTCTCAACTTCATAAAGACCTACACTACTGCTAATTTTTATAGGATTATGTTTCCATGATAACAAAATACAACTTAGTAAGCACTCTAACAATCCAGGCATAGTCGGAATTTTCCTCATACATCAACCTTGGGAGACCACACATTTCTTCTAATGCTGCTATTATCCCTTATTTTGAGAGACCCTTGTCTAGAATTTTCTTCAGAGCCTTCACCAAATCCTTATGAAGCTTTGGTTCACTTATGGTTTTTAATGATAAAACAAGTCAGAATATTTACATGCTTGCTTCATTTATGTAAAAGATTATAAACTCCTCTAGGTCGTCTACAGTCTAAAAAACGCCAACATTAATCTTCAAGGTAGCTTGGAAAATAAATCATGATTTTGTCATCTTTGAACCAAAACATTCTGAAGAGACTGATCGTAAGCTCTTGGATCCAAGTCTAGTGAATAAATACACTACAGGTGGCTCCAAGAGCTAACAGGTTGTTTCCTAATGATCTATCCACTCTCAAAACACTGGGGTTCACTACCAGTAAGGTTGGTCAAAAGCATATGCTAACTTTAGAGAAAAAAATCAAGTTCTTGAAATATAAAAGCCATTCCCAGAAAAAAGATCAAATGAGAGGAGACAGTATGATGGGGAGAATTTAAGAAACTGTTCCTTTACCACATTAGCCAGCTTCCAAGTAATCTGAAAGACGTAGCAAAAAACTTAATTTACAGTCAAAATTACTTAACTCAAAAATAATTTCATGCAAATTTCGTTGAGAAATAATCCACAATTTAGTTCCTGTGTTGTCAAGAAATTTAGTAAGTGTAATATAATTAGTTTTAATTTTTCTTTCCTATAGGCTTTAATAGACAATTCCAAAAAGGTTCCAAGTAATGGCAAAAGTATTAGAATCAACGTGTTATTTCCTAAGGGGATTGTTTAAGGAGGGTCAATGCTCAAGCGGGGGCCTGTGTCTCTGTTAAGTTGAAACACTCTGAAATTAAAACTCATACCTTTACCACAGTTCAAGAAATGTATTTAGGAACTAAGGTGGGTTTAAGAGAAACCAAACCAAATAATACTCATCTTAATAATTCTACAGAGAATGACTTATAACCATCAAAGCAGAAGTTCAAATAGTCTTAAAATTGAGCTTTAAACTCTAATTTATATTAAAAACATAACAAAAACACTTGAAAACAACAGTATTATGGAATGATTGCAACTCAGACAAAAGGAAACGAAGATTATTTCAACTAGTGAACTATCTACTTATAATTTTGTCAATAAATATACACAAAAGTATAAGATATTTTAAGAGAACTCATTTTTAAGAATCTGAATGATTTCTATAATAAACAGCTTATGGTTTAACACAAATAGGAACAGTATGCATCTACAAGATCCTAACTACCCTGCACTCAAACAATTTCAACTCTCAAGCCATCAGATCCTGTGTATACCAAATCACAGGTAAGGTGTTTCAAACGTAGGGTTATCCTCTTTAACGAATGCTTCAAACACAGAAGCTTTAAGCATAAATCTTTGGGTCTGGTGAGTGCAAAATTTAAAGAGGAAAAGTGAGTAATCCTCATCGCCTTGATCATCTTGTTATCCTGAGAATCTTTCCTTATCCTTAGGTACCCGTTCTGCATGACAGCCACAGAACTCAAGGTGCTGCTGGTGTGAACAATGCAGTGCTTTTGCTTATGGGCAGGATAACGGTTTTATCTCCACTATCTAGCCTGGTGATGCTCTGTATTTCACTGACCTTTCTGGCCACAGTAATTCACTAGGTCAGTATCTTCCAAGATTTCCTCATAGTATCTATAGATCTCAATCTACTGCATCAGAGAGCTCAAGAGTAACTCTAACCAAGATAAAGCACCACCTTCCCTAAACACAGTAATTTATATGTGCCTGCTATCATGTCAAAAAGCTGAAATCTTCATCACTATTAGCTTGAGTGTTCAAACTCAAAAGAGCTTGGTGTCCATCTATCTCGCAGACCATCTCCAACTAAAGGTCCTAATCCCTGAGCGAAGTCCATTCTGAAGCGATACTCTCCACCTGTAATTTCCTATCATACAGGCAGTTAACCACACAAAATCTTCTCAATCGATGGTGACTGTTTTTAATGTGTACAATAAATTTTCCAATTGACAGTGGAATCTAATGATCTCTCACTTCTTGCTCTAAAGTCACTGCAGCTGTTCTGAGAATATTAAACAAATATCTCCTATATTTCACACTCTCCAGTTGCTATTATGTATTTAAGACATCTGACTTGAAGATGAAGATTTCCACTCAGATCTCAGGATTTAACTTACTTTCGAAAGATGATGCTCAGAGGAGAATCCCAGGCCATAAACAGTGTTTGCCCGACTATCAGCCCACTGGCCAAACTTCTGAGATGTTTTAGTAAATGTCATGTTTGGGGTGATGGTGCTATTAATTATTGCCTAAAATATAAAACAAGTACAAATAACAAGCCAAAAATCAGCAAACAGGCATTTAAACACAGGACTACTTAGTTACATAAAAACTTAGGATTCCTAATGAGTCACAATGTTAAATATATAAAGATAATTACAGAAATAGTTTTTAACATTATAGGTGACAGTGTGGAAATATGGTAACTAATAGAACTATAAATATTATGGCACTCTATCAAAAATTTCAACACCTTACAATCAACGTAAGTTTTTTTATGATGCAAAAAAATTTCAAGAGGTTTTTAAGCACGGTCAGTTTCTTCCCTTTGAACATTTAGGATCAATATTTATGAATTTTGGATGATACTCACTGGAAGTACGTACGTTTTAATAGTTGTTTATTTAAAAGTAAGGTCTCACCCTCCAAAGAATCTTTCAAAAATGAATATCAATAGAACAGATTTTCTATTTGTACACTAATTTTCCAAAATCCATAATCAAGAATTTTCTTAAAGCTGACTTACCTGAAATATATTATGATACAGAAAACACTTTCAATCATTTAGTACTTTTCCTTTACTCAAAGGGAAATCAAACTCCTAAATATATTCTTTAATTCTTTTCTCATAAAGTACGTAAATTCATGATATTGAGACTCAATATCATTTCTATTTAACAGTTTCTTAGAAAACTAGCATTTTAGTATGTTATTAAATATTAATTTTGGTGATCAATAGGATAAATTTCAATTATTCTAACATATTAAGTTCATTCTCTCTGCTGGTACTGTAAAAGTGTAGAGTCAGTTTTAGTTAAGTAATCTAACGCACTCCAAAACTGAGATTACAAAGTGATTACAACAATAATAAAAATAAATGTTATCAAATCCATAAGCAGCTATCTGGTGAACTATTAAATATAGCATGAAAATTAAGCATTTTGAGAACAAAGGTAAATCTGATTACCACGTGAACAGTCTAAATGTAAATACTTATGAGCTAACCAGGTGGTGATGAAATTATAATAATGAACGAATGACATTGGTCCTACTAAAGAAAACAGTAAAAGAGAGAGTGGTTGCTTGCTTACTCGTGACACAGACAGCAGATGTGTTATCTGTTGTGATATGAGAGCTCTTATCCTCTACTAAGCATTTTTACCTCTGACAAAATTTACATACTCATATATCTCCTTACCCTTCAGTTTAAAAGCTGCTTTTCCCAGTACGTCATTTTAGATCCTGTAAAATGAGGCTAACAACTAACTGCTCTAACCTGCAGGGTTGTCATCAAATGAAAGACTAAATGGAAAATAATATATTAAGAAATAGTAAAGAATCATTTACTTATTCAACTTTTTCTATTGAGTACCTATTAAATGCCAAACACAATTCTAGAAACTTGAGATACAACAATAAGAGGCAATGTAATTGTGGATTACATTTTAGAGCAAAAAGAGTCAGCCAATGAACAAATAAATAAACAGCTGACCAATGTAAGTGCTGTGAAAACCACGAGGCCAGGATGTGACGGAGCCTGAAAGGCTAGAAGGCGAGGACCAGCAGGCACTCCTTTAGATCAGGTCGTCCTTGACTGTCCCTGAGGAGGGTACATCTGAGCTAGAATCTGAGTGTTTTCAAGGAGAGCAGGGCATTTTACATGTGATCCTAATTACTCTCAAAAAGTGAAGCAGCAATGGGTTACAGGCATCTAAAAAAACTGACCCAGGTGCTGTTGCTCACTGACCTTCCATTTTAGTTATTTCAAATTAACTTCTGCTTTAAGTTTAAGAGTTCCATTTTAATCCCCATTCTGAATCTTCTTTGCCTCTGTATTATCTGCTTTGAGATTCTTTAATCACTGAAGAAAAACTTTAAAATGACAGTTGATCCTACACTTAAAAAAAATTACTTATTAGAATTTTTTGAATAGAATGCTATTATGAATTTATTTAAAAGAAAAATTTTAGCTCTTTAGAACAAATATGTCTCCCAATCCTGGGATTCTTGTCCTTTCAAGGAAAAGAGGTAGAAATGCTGTGTCATTACAGATCATATATACAGCGCCCTGATCCTGGCACCTAGCCATGCTGATATCGCCGCAGCAGGACTAGAAAACCTTCAAGCAAACTTTATGCACACAGTAAAGGCAATAAGTGAGAACAAATGGACATTTTCTGGTCAGGGGCACCCAAGGCCTTTCCAGCTCATCATATAGTGCAGAAACAGAAGGGGGGTGGGGAGGAGAAAAACACAGATTTAGCCACATCAAATAATCCACTACTCCTTACCAAAAACCAACTACTCCTGCAGGGAGCTGCAGTAGTTAACAGCATCAGTTTAGAAAAGTAACTAGCAAATGGAAAATGTAATAGAAAATATAACTCTGTTACAGAGGGTAGACTTTGTTAAAAGAAACAAACAAAAATTTTTTCACAAGAGTTATTTAAGAAAGCCTAATAATTACAAGCTGCAAAGTATGCTCAAAAATGGAAATGCCAGAAGCAATAATTCATATTGCTTCAGAAGGAAGAACACACGAGGATTACATAATCACACGGGACATGGGACTTCTTCAGCTGAACTTCACTTTTATACACCATTTAATTCTCCTGTCTAATAAAATTACATCTCATCTGTGGTTTGGGCCAAGAGAGAAGTACAGATTATAGAGAAATGAAGGTTCGAGTCAGGGGAAAGAAATAAACCAACTAGAGTCTGAGATTATAATAATTAATATCTGCTAATTTCACTAAAGATACAAAATATGACAAAAATTATTCTTCATTAAATAAATTCATAGAAATTAACTACTACTATTTCCCAAGTCCTTTAAATCCTCCAAGTGAAAATGAAAAGAGGCTCATTTATTCAAATGAACACATTAGTCACTTACGTGAAAGTCAAAGTGCACACAGCCCCTGGGTGCTATCATCCAGTTAAGGAGGTAAGGAATTAGCATACAGACAGAACAGACTGAAGGCTGAGCATTAAATTAAATTACCTTTTATTCTCCCAAAACCACTAGACACTACATAATTAATAGCCTAATAATAATAACAATAGCAGTAAGTGTTTGTATGGTGATTACTATCAAGTGCTTTTGTCTAAATTAATTAATCTTCAAATCGATTCCATGTTGTAATGACGTAGTAGGTATTTTTATTAGTTCCTTTTTACAGATGAGAAAACTGAGGCACGAGGACATTAAATATCTTGCTCTAGGTCACATGGCTGGAAGGAGCAGGGCAAAAATCAAGCCTCACGGTCCAGCTCTAGCGTCTGTGCTTGAACCCCTACACTGAACTGCTCAATTTCTGGGAGCGGAAAGGCCTCACGGCATCAAGAAAGCTTGAAGGAGAAGAGAAAGCTTGAAGGAGAAGAGTGGAGCCTTCATCTTTCTACACACTTCATATCCACAAGCCAATGTTTGGTATTTCTTTATCCAGGTGTGTTATTCAAAATTCAGTGATTAAAAAAATGGCATTTCCCCTCTTTGAAGGCTATACTATCCATCAGGTACTGATCTAGATGCTGTGCAGATATTAACTCCTTTAATTCTTACAACTACCAGTCCTCAGGTGAGAATAATGAGGTTCAGAGAAGTAATTTGCCAAAGTCCAAAACTTAGTAGATGGTAGAGCCGAGATGTGAACCCAGGCACTTCATGCTCTTAAACTTGACACTATCTACCTCTCCTAAGAAATAAAAACTTAGGTCTTATCCATATGCTTTTCTTCAGAATAAGGAATGTCAGATTAATACTGACTTGGCAGACTTCAAACGATTTAGGGATTTTGAACTCCCTACTAGTCTATACAAGTGATCTGAAAAGAATTCTAGTCCCTCACTAGGCCGTATGCTCCAAAAGAGCAGAAACGGTGTCCGTTCTGTTTACCACTGTATTCCTAGCACCTGGCGTAGCGCCTGACATATAACATATATGCAATGAATATTTATTAAATAAACTGACCTTAAATTTGCAGCATATTTTGGTACGTAACTCCATATAAATAGAGTGGTTAATCCAAGTAATTTAGTGAACAAAAAATGCTGCTATCCTAAGAATGATCAGTTTTGTTTTTTGGAAGTTAAATTTTAAAAACTCAGACAAATATTTTAATGAAGATAAGAATCTGCTGAATAAAACTGAAATGCTATACTGTTTAAAGCAAAACGACAAGATTATTTGAAGTGAATGTAACCTACCTATGAGCATCTAAACTGATTATCCTGTACACATTTCTTGTGCTGTCATAGAAATAAGACACAGTAACTGCATGCTTGCTGGTGGGCACCCAGTTCTTCTTTGTGTTGGGGTCGATCTGGAAGACATGAGCTCGAGTGCTGAAGATGGGCTGTTCCCTGAAGGGGAGAAAATAAAATGACTGACTGAAAGCAGCCAATTTTATTCCACCAGACAACAGAACAAGAAAACTGTGAGGATGCTTCCACTTAACTAACAACTCCCATATCCCTGAAAATCAGAGAAACTTTCTTTTAAATTGGAATATTCTAAGCATCCAATCAGAAGCTTCTTTAAAACAATTACAGTCAATCCTCATTATTCAGAGTCTGTATTTGTGAATTTGCCTACTCAATAAAATGTATTTGTAATCCCCAAACTAATACTTGAGGTACTTTCTCGGTCTTTTGCAGTGGAAAAAAGCGAGTCACCTGACATGAATGTTTCCATCTGAGGTGGAACAAGGCAACAATCTGTCTTCTTGTTTCAGCTCTCATACTATAAACAAGTGTCCTTTTTGCAATCTATTTAGCACCACATATTTCACATTTTTGTGCTTTCTGTCAGTGCTTTCACTGTTTAAAATGGCCCCCAAGCATAGTGCTGCAAGTGCTGTCTGTTCCCAAACCCAGGAAGGCTGTGATGTGCCTTATGGAGGAAATATACGTTATATAAGCTTTGTTCAGGCACGAGGTACAGTGCTGCTGGCTGGGAGTTCAATGGTAATGAATCAACAATATATATTAAGTAAGGTGTCTTTAAACAGAAACACACATAAAACAAGGTTATGTATTGATCAGTTGATGAAAAAGTTGTCACCAGAGGCTCACAGGAACCTAACCCTGTATTTCCCCTCTGAGAGCAATGG